ACCAGCCACTCCTCGGAAGGAAGGTTGGGCAATCTACTTCCGTAGTGATACCTCCTCAGAAACCCTAGGAGGAGTCGCTGTGAGTTGGATCCAACTCCACAGCAGTGTGTTGTGATGCGTTGTCTCTGCCTTTAAAATTTAATTCAAATAATGCTGATTTTAAAATAAATTTGTACCATTTAATCTTTTGTCTTTGAAATGATAAATTTTCTGGATCTTTGAAAAGAAGAAAGCTGAAATCTAGTCATTTAATTAGTTATATGAAAGTTAAGAGTCATAGCAGAATCTGAATAATGCTACAGACTGTGGTGTCATAAAACCACCTTTGATTATTGGAACCTGCCACAAATAAGTTCATTTTTGTTGTGGTTGAGCTTTCCAACAATAACGTTCTGTAGGAATCTGAAAGTTGGCATTTTGTATTACATGCTTTTGGATGCTTTAGTTAAGGCAATTCATTATAAGTGAGTTCTTTACCCAATTAGAGTACCATCAAAAATTTCCTGAAAGTATTTTGTTTAGGGAAAAGTATGTGTTGAAAAATTTTATATATGAGGAGGAGTCCCTAGCTTCCCCCCCCCCCCATTTCCAAAGCTGTGACTACCCAGAAAATGTTAAGAACCACTATTTATAGCAATTAAATGAACTACTTTTTGCAACTAGTTAGCGTACTGAACACACAGTAAGTACTCAACAAATGTTAACTACTGTTGTTTTTAATACTGAGCACCTACTGTGTACAGGGAAAGAGAGAAAGGGAGATGGTGTCAAAGAATTTGGCAGGGGCTGGATTATGTAGAATTTTATAAGGCATGGTAAATATGTAGTCACAGATTTAACTGGGAAGAAGCCTTTAAGCTGGAAGAAATTCTTTAAGCTGGAAAGTGACATGAATTGACTGGCAGTTTTTGAAATATCAGTTCTGGCTACTTTGTGGAGAATAGATTTGGGAGTGAGGAGGGTAAGAATAGAAGTAGGGAGAGTTTTTTCTTTTTTTGTAATTTTTATTATGATTTGGGTGAAAGTTTACAGAGCAAATTCATTTTCCATACAGCAGTTCATACACATTTTATCTCATGACATTGATTGTAACTCTCCACAATACAACAGGTTTTTTTCCCCACTTCCTCCCTGTAGTTAGCTCTTCCTTGTATCTTTCCCTCCCATGCACTCCCACCCACCCTCCCCCAGCTGTCTACCTGTGCAAACACTACCCTTCTGTTTGCCCATGATTGATTGCTCCAAGGAGTGTATCTACCTGATGTAAATGTTCACCCCATATGCCTGTCTGTTATTTGGCTGGAAGCCATAAGAGTGAGTTCAGTTCCAGACCTGAAGGGTGGCTAGGGGCTGTAGTCTCAGGGGTCTCACCAGGCTTTATCAGACCAGCAAACCTGGTCTTTTTTTTATGATTTTGAGTTTTGTTCTCCCACTCTATTTGGGATCTCCTGTGTTGTTGTTGTTAAGTGCCGTCGAGTCGTTTCCAGCTCATAGCAACCCCATGCACAGCAGAATGAAACACTGCCCGATCCTGCGCCAGCCCCACAATCCCTGCTGTACTTGAGCCCATCATCACAGCCACCATGTCAATCTATCTCGTTGAAGGCCTCCCCCTCTTTCATCGACCCACCACCCTACCAAGTATGACATCCTTCTCCAGGGAATGGTCCCTTCTTACAACATGACCAAATAGGTGAGACGAAGTCTGGCCATTCTTGCTTCCAACGAGCATTCTGGCTGCACTTCCTCCAGGACAGATCTGTTAGTTCTTTTAGCAGTCCATGGTACTTTCAGCATTCTTCGCCAGCACCACAACTCAAAAGCATCAACTCTTCTTTGGATCTCCTATACTGATCCCAGAAGTAGGGAGACTTTTAGAGGCTGTTGATACAGTGTAAAAGAAAAGTGATTGTTCTTTGGGCTAATATAGTTCCACGGTATATATTTGAGGTAGAAACTATTGGATTTAGTGATGGATTGGTTGTGGGAGGGTGAAGGAAAGAGGCATGAAAGATGACATCTAGGTTTTGGGGTTAAGAATTGGGGTTCATTGTGCTGTTTCTTGAGATGGAGAAGACTGGGAAAGAGTATGGTTTTGAACATACCTTTAAGGAGTTTTTCATATATGCAAATGGAGAGATATCTGTAGTCACTTGAATGTATAAGATATTTAACTCTGGAGATCAGAGGAAGGAAAGATTGGGATTGGAAATAGAAATATGTCATTAGCATATAACCCGCTGCCATTGAGTCAATCAATTCTGATTCATAGAAACACTTTAGGACAGAGTAAAATTGCCCCATACAGTTTCCAAGGCTGTACCTCTTTACAGAAGTAGACTGCCTCATCTTTCTCCCACAGGGTGACTGGTGGGTTTGAACCGCTGACCTTTTGGTTACCAGTCAAATGCTTTAATCACTACGCCACCAGAGCTCCTTCATTGACATATAATGGGTATGGGACTGGATGATGTCCCCTTAGAAGGCTTTAGGAGAATGGAAACTCAATAAAAAAAAAACCCACCAAACTCGCTGCCCTTGAGTTGATTCTGACTCATAGCAACCCCCTTTGGGTTTCTGAGGAGGTCAGTCTTTACAGAAGTAGAATGCCCAGTCTTCCTTCCACAGAGTGGCTGGTAGGTTTGAACTGCCAGTCTTCTGGTTAGCAGTAAGATGCCTCACGGAACAGGACCTGGGTAGAAGAAGCGACTAAAGAAGGAAGAGTCTGTGAGATAGGAGAAAAACCAGCACAGTGGTTTCATAGAAGCTGGGAGTTGAATTTTTGAAGACGAGTGGTCAGTCTATGTATGCTGCTAAAAGATCATAAAGAGAACAAATGAATGGCACCTGGATCTAGCAACATAGGTCACAGATGACCTTGACAGGAACAGTTTCTGTGTATGTAGGGACAGGAACCTGATTGTTGTAGGTTAAGGAGAGAGTGTAGAGGTGAAGTAGAGACAATGGGATAGACAACTCAAAAACTTGTGAAGGACGTTTGGAGGAGGTTGTGGGGTCAAGGGAGAGTTACTTTAAAGAAAGAAAATTCTAGAGCAAGGATGTTTGCTGTTGAGTATGAACTAGTAGAGAAAATAGAAACTGGTGGTGTAAGAGAGTAAATAATTCAAGAAGACAATCTTGACAAAGCAAGAGAAGATGGCATGAGAGTCTTACAACAGTTTGTCTTTCATGGGAGCGGTGGTAATCAATTAATTACAACTTGAGGAAACTCCAAGAGTTTGAGTGAAGATGAAAGTGAGTTTGTTCATATTCATTTCTCTGTCATCCCAGTGAAGTATCACTCCTGTTTTAGAGGCTAGAAAAGTGAGGTTTGATGGGGGGCATGTTTTGTTTTTGTTAAATCATGGCTCAGTAGCATCAGTAATTATAGAACTCACATCTGTAGACTTTCAGGTGAGCGTTCTGATTTGTTATGTTCTTTGAGAATGAGATGTCATAAAATAGGAATGAATGTGTTTTGTGTCTCCTTGGCTCACTTGGGTATTTTGTTCTAGGGACAGATCTGGAAACATCATTGCTAAGTTTTGAAAAACTTGACCGTGCCTCACCAGACCTTTGGCCGGAACAATGTAAGTTTTTGGTTTATTTATATCAGAATTGACACTGGAGGACCAGTACTTCTTTGAGGGAGATTTGAAGAGATATATCATTTAACTGTAAAGAAGTTTTTGTTTTTCTTCAAAGAGAAAAGACCTGACTGAATTTTGTCATCCAATATTAAGGATAGTTTGGTGGTTTAATTTTTTCAGAACACATTATACCTCAGGAAATGATAGGAATCCGTCAAAAAGTAATTATTTAAAATTTTTGCTTTATGTGTGTATATATATATATATAAACAAAGGACCTATGGTAGCACAGTGACTAAGGCACCTGACTGCTAACCAGAAGGTTGGTGGTTCAAACCCACCAGACACTCCGCAGAAGCAAGACTGGGCAATCTACTTCCATAAAGATTTACCGCTTTGGAAACCCAATGGGGGTTGCTGTGAGTCAGAATCGACTCAGTGGCAGTAGGGTTTTTTTAAAACAGATAAACGAATAAATACATTTTAAAATATGTAGATAGTTTGCTTTAATGATGGGTTCCTATGTACGTATGCTGCAGCTTAACCTATTCTACCTAGAAATTTATTAACTGAGCTTTTCATATCGGTATATATAGATCTAAGGAGCCCTGGTGGTGAACGGTTAAGAGCTTGACTGCTAACTGAAAGTTTGGAAATTCAAACCCACCTAGTGGTTCCATATGAGAAAGACTTGGTGATTTGTTCCCATAAAGCTTACAGCCTAGAAAACCCCATGGGGGAGTACTGCTCTGTCCGGTAGGGTCACTGTAAGTTGAAATGGACTTGACAGTACCCAACAACAACAACAACAACAACAACACATGCAGACCTACTTCATTCTTTCAGATGGTTGAATAGTGCGTGTGTGTGTGTGTGTAGATGAACCGTAGTTTCAGTTTATATATTCATACTCTATTTGTCAGAAGGAAGGTTGGGCAATCTACTTCTGTAGTGTTACTGCCTCGGAAACCCAAGGAGGGGTCGCTATGAGTCAGGTCCCACTCGATGACACATAACGACAACAACTCTATTTGTAAACCTAAGTTATATCCAGTTTTTTGTTTTACAATTTAACAGTGAATATCCTTGCCCAAAGAAGAACATGAGTATATATGGAATGCTCATTTCCTCCCAAACTCACTAATATTGGATGTTACTGATCCTTATTATTTTTAGTTTGCGTTTATTAGTAAAATTGAGTGTTATTTCATTTTTAAGTGTCTGATTTTGGTTTTTCTGCTCTTAAATGTGAATATTCCTCTGAGACATTTAAATAAGTATTGAATTGAAAGAGCAGCATACCTAGAAAGGAAACTTGATATAAATTTTTTGGTAAGAGATACTGTATCTCATCACCCTCCCATCTGGCTAACTCCTGGTCCTTCACGTTTCCTTGAAGCTTCCTTTTCTCCAGGAAACTTTTCTGGCCCCTTTGGTCTGATATAGGCTTCCACTGTTTGTCCTCCCATAGCACCTATTCTCTTTCTCTGGGCAGTGAAACAATTTTACGGTTATTGATTCACCCTCTTTCCTCTTCTAGACTAACCTCCTTGAGGACAAGGCTGTTTTCTGATCATTTGAACCCTCTGTGCCTATAGCACGCAAATATTTATTGAGTGAACAATTTTTTTTTTTCTTTTTAGTACCAGGTGTTGCTGAATTTGCAGCTTCCTTCAAAAGTGTAAGTAGTATCTTGCTTATGTAATGAAGTTTATCCACAGTTTTGTTCCTGGGTAAAAAGCTCATATCTCTTATTTCTTTATTTTATTTTTGTAATTTGGGTGAAAGCGTACAGAGAAAATTGGGTTTTCCATTCAACAATTTTATACATTTTGTTTTGTGACATTGATTGTAGTCCCCATACTGCAACAGCACTGTTCCCACTTCCTTCTTGTATGTGTTTCTATGCGTTGTTCTTTCCTGTCCCTTCCTGCCGTCTTATTTATTTTCAAGGATAATATCATAGCCTTCAAATCATTTTTAAACTGCAGCCTTGTAAATCATATTAATTGATACTTTCATATGCTCTATTTTGACCTTTGTCTGTTAACCCCTTTCTCAGCTTGAAATCTTTTAAAGTAAGGCAGTTGAGGTAATGCCGGTATTCTTTATGCGAGACTTGGTTAAAGAGCACTGCTGCTAACCAAAAGCTGTTCAACAGGTTGAACTCACTAGGGGCTCCACAGGAGAAAGGTATGGCAGCCTTGGAAATCCTACAAGCAGTTCTACCCTATCCTTATAGGGTCTCCATGTGTCGGAATGAACTCATCAGCAGTGGGTTTTTCTTATGTGATGCATTATGGTCTTAACTTACACTTACTTGGAGGATTTTGAATTTTCTCAGTGGCCCATTGGAAACCTGGAATAAGACATTTATTGGAACTGCAGACTCTCATTTCTAGAGCAGCAGGCATTCTGCTAGATGTTCTAAATATGTTCTTATATGTTCTCACAATGAGAAAAAAGTGATGATAATATTAAACCATAAACCCACTGCCATTGAGTCGATTCTAACTAATAGTGACCCCCGTTGAGTTTCCAAGGCAGTAAATCTTTACTGAGGTTGATTGCCTCATCTTCTTTCTGCAGAGCAGCTAGTGGGTTTGAACTGCCAACCTTCTGGCAGATGCCTTAGGCACTGTGTCACCAGAGCTCCTTTAAATATTTCAAGTTTTAAATATAAATACCTATTACTGTTGAGTCAATTCCAACTCATAGTAACCCTATAGGACAGAGAAGAATTTCCTCATAGATTTTTCAAGAATGTAATCTTTACAGAAGCAGACTGCCATATCTTTCTCCCATAGAGCAGCTGGTGGATTCAAACTGCTGACCTTTCAGTTGCAGCTAAGCATTTAACCACTGTACCACCAAGGCTCCTTAAATAAAAATTGTTTTTGTTTGTTTTTATAAAAATACTTTCAGAATATGGTATGGTCTAAAATTTTGATTAAATATCTAGATCTTTTCCACAGAAATATGAATATATTTATTATTTTCAGTTTTGTTCCTAGGGGTTCAGGGCCATCCCAAGACCAAGGTTCAGATCTCCTATTATAGTCTGCTTTCCTATTAGAGTAAAAATGGTGTGTTTGACTTAGAGCCCTCAGTGAGATGGATTGACACAATAGCTACAACAGTGGGTTCAGATACACCAAAGATTGTGAGGGTATCACAGGGCCGGTAACGTTTTATTCTGCTCTGCGTAAGGTGGCTGTGAGTTGGTGCTGACTCAGTGGCAGCTAATAGCATGAGGGAGGCAATAGAGTAATAGTCTCTAACATCAACTACCAAGGTTTCGAATCCTGGCCCCATGAGCTGTGTGACTCGAGGCAAGTAATTTACCTCCCTGTACTTTAGTTTTTTTCATTTATAAAATGGGGATAATACTGCTTATTTCATAGGGTTGATTTGGAATTTAAGTGACATAATCTCTATAAAGTGTCTTGCTTGTCACATAGTGCTGAGTAAGTGTTAATTTAAAAAAGAAATTAGAAAAGCACTTGAAGCTGAAGTAATTCTTCTTAACCCTACCTGCACAGCAGAATCATCAGTATGCAACTGTGGGGTCTTTGGAAAATACCTATGTGGCCTTCCTTGCTCTGTTCTTGCCACTGGACCCTCCCCAGCTCCTGATATTTTTAATCCACATACCTAGGGTATGACCAGGTGTGTGGGAGAAAGAACTTGGTTTGGCCTTTTGTCTCTGGTTTCTGAAAATAGCGCCCTTGGAATTTCAAGCAGTCAAGATTCCTTTTATTTTCTAAAACTGCCAGGCAGCACTTAAACCTATAAAATGAGTTGGGAGCCCTCAATCGCTCCCTGGCAATAGACCTTAGAGAGGGAATGGGTGTGCTGTAGTCAGCCATGCATGTTTATTGAGTCACGCAAAATCATTGATTCCCCAGTAACTGTGGGACCTGGAGCTTCCTTTTTTGGGGAGGCTTCCTGGATTGGTGCGAACATCTATGCATGGGAGTGAATGTAGCATGTCCCGGGGGACAGCCTTGCCTGATGTGTCCCTTCCTTTATATCCTTTCTGCATATAATACATGAGTAACTGTAAGTATAGGTAATAGTCTCCTTAGATTTTGTGAGCCATTTTGTAGAATTAGTGAGCCCACAGGGGCAATTAGACTCTTACTTAGCATGGGGTGGCTAATTCAGAGGAGGGCTGCACAAGCAGTCAATTTGTGCTGGGTGACAGAGAAAGGCTGCATGGATACTTGATGAAGAAGGACAGAGTACAAGCTTGTGACCTAACCCTAGCAGACTCAAGGAAGAGAAAAGGAAACTAGCTGGTCTGAAGTGTAGGGAGTTGTGTAGACTCGTAAGCTTATGACTGGTACCCACTGACCTGGCCCCAGGTGGTAAGGGATGCTTTCACCTGGCACAGGGTAGCCACGGATGAACTCTGACTTAACTGTGGGTGTTAGGGTGAGAGAGGAAGTACCACAAAAAGAGCTGGCTACTAAAGGAATGGAGATGTGAGAAGGTGAAGCCTGGGTCCACTTCAGATGGCGACTGGACTCATCATGATTTTCCCATGCAGTTAGCGATAAAGGTGGAATTTGCCCACCTTGCCCCTTTACTATTGCAGTTGGCAGCGCACTAGGGTATTTGTAATTTTTTTTTGTTACTTAGGTAATTCTGATGTGCAACCAGGATTGAAAACTTCTGACCTAAAGTTATCCTAAGAGAGAGTTCTCATATTTTGTCAGTTCATTTTTAAAAATGAGAAGATAACATTCTAAAGTTTTCTAAAACTTCTGCAATGAAATTACGAAATTTCAAGATGACCGTTCCAGTGTTCTCTCACTTATACTGAGGATTTTCTTGTTCTTAATTCTTTGAGTCTTCTCCTCTGCCAGAGAAGGTTACTTCCTGATCAAAGTTTCAAACAGTTCAGCTGGGAGGCTTTTGCAACAACTGAGTTGCGAGTAATTTCTTTCATTGTTATACTAATCTCTAATGCATGAAACAGTAATACCAGTTATACCTAATTCTTCCAACATCACTTTTCTAAGACCAGCTTTAAAGATGAGCAGTATTTTTTTTTTTATTTATTGTGATAAGATATATATATATAACAAAAAGTTTGCCATGTTGACCATTGTTTAAGTTTATAACTCACTGATATTAATTACATTCACCACGTTGGGTTACCATCACAACTACTCATATCCAGAAGTTTTTCATCACCTCAAACAGAAACTCAGTATCCCTTGCAATTCCTCCTCATTCACCCTTCCCTCAGCCTCTGGTAACTACTAATAAACCCTTGCTTCTAGATGAGCAGTATTATTTTTGTAAGGTGAGTATTTGTGGGCCATATTAGAACCTGGAGAAGTTCAGGTTTTTGAAATTATAATTTGCCAGTATTCTAAAACCTGAAGGGCATGTGACAGGCTACTTTTCTTGTGAGAAGGAAGACTCACTCAGGTCTCTTCACATTTAGTATATATCTGAATGGATATATTCTTGTTTTCTAACAGCCTATAACTAGCTCTCCACCCAAATGGATGGCTGAAATAGAACGTGATGATATCGACATGTTGAAAGGTAAGTGATTCTGATGACCTCTAACATTTCAAGTGACATTTACACCTCTAAATCATTACCGTTGCAGTTTTTCTCATTCCCTTACAAGTATTCTTGGTGTCAGTGAAACTGCCGTTTAACCATCCGCACTCACAGTTCTTCATGCCTGAGTACCTTTCTCTACATTTTCCATATGCAGAAATCCTGCCAGTTCAAGACTCAGCCGTTGTGATTTCTTCTGTTGCTAAATTCCTATAATAGTAACTTTTTGTATAAAGCTTTACAGTTAACACAAAGCTTTCACATAACTCTTCTCATTTAATTCTCATAAAGGTCCTATGAGTTAGGTATTAGATAGCTAAAGTTCACAGGTGGACTTAACCAGCACTTGTAAGAGTTAAAATTTAAACTTTGATCTTTTATGTTAAATCTAATTCTCTCTATAACACAACTGCCTTATTTAGGATTTATTGCCATATATTTTTGTTAGTGCTATTAAATAACAACTCTTTAATGGGTTAAGACCTGTCTTTGATTTCCTTCTATCCTATCCGTTTCTTCCATAAAGAATACTATAAGTAGTGAATGTTGTTGTTTGATAAATGATTCAGAACCCAATCACAACATGGAAATTCAAATTAAAAAACATTAAATTTCCTTGATATTTGCTGTTCTTTATTTATTTAATTTTTGATCATCCTTCTGGTGATAAGATTCATGATGGTTGTGAAGTAATAGACTGAAATTAAGGTAAAAACTAGGATTCCAGCTATTTAAGAAGCTGAACAGATCAAGAAAGTCTACTTAATGCCAGATAATAATGCCTATGACATGATAAGTGGGAGGAAAAAGACACCTTTACTTGATTTCAGAAGTAATTCATTGTTCTGCATGAAATGCTTAACTATAGATGCTTAAATCCCCTCATTCAGCCATGGAAAAATTAAGTCTCAAGGACATCTCAGATTCATTGTTCTAATGTTCCCAACAGACATTTATATAATATCCAATCGTTGTGTATTTAAAAAAAAAAAAAAACCACCAAACCCATTGCCATTGAGTCAGTTCAACTCATAAGGACACTAAAAGATAGCGTAGAACTGCCCCCATAGGATTTCCAAGGCTGTAACTCTTTGTGGAAGCAGACTGCATCATCTTTCTCCCGAGAGTGGCTGGCAGGTTCAAATACTGACCTCTTGGTTAGTGCCAAATGCTTTAACCACTACACCACCAGAGCTCCTATGTATTTAAAGGAAACTAAAATTTAAGTAAGGGATCATTGTGTTATATTACATGCAAATTAACCTGTATCTTAAATCTAAAAAGAATTGGATGCTATTTAAAGGAAATCTTGAAAAGTAAGATTCAAAAAAAACTTTAAACTTTAAAATAAAAAATTATAGGAATTTATTTGAAGGAAAAGCTTGGACTTTTAAATTCTGAGCTTAGGGAAATGGGAAACAGTAAGTGTTTTGTTGCTATTTTATTGTCAGTTATAATAATGAAGAGTTGTAAATGGCAGTGGAGACAGTGTCCATTTTGCATGAAAGAGATGTGTTTGCAAGGCTTTCTCAATGCTATGTCCAATCACATGGTTTCATATTTTAATGGTGTATTCATTTTATCTGATAGGCATAAGAAGTATGATGAAAATAAGTAAAGTAGGAGTCTCAGGAGAAAGCACTTGAGTTGCTATTGTATTTATGCCGACTCTTTTCTCATTAAGTGGGTAAATTCATCTGAGGCAGTTTGTAATAATGAAAAATGCATTGATATGTTTTTTGGGGGAAATTGAGAGGAGAAGAAATATGGATCTATTATCTCCTAATTCGACAGGAATTAAGCAAAATACCTTGAAAACTTCTATAACAAGGATTCCCAACCAAAATGAGTTGTTACTAGAGAACAGTGGAAAGAAATGGTATTGAAATAAATGATTCTGTTTCAGAACTGGGCAGTCTCACCACGGCTAATTTGATGGAGAAGGTACGAGGCCTACAGAACCTGGCCTATCAGCTGGGTCTGGATGAGTGTGAGTACCCAGATCACATTTATTCAGGGTAACTGATGGTATTTTCATGACGAGTTCTAGTACAATTCAGAAAATATCTTTAGTAGGGGAAAGATAGATGTTCTGACAGTAAGAAGTTGATATAATCTAAAATGTACCTTTTATGATAGAATGTGCTAGAATAATTGCTGGACTTACTAGGTAACAAATTCTTTTTCTCTGTACAGTAAAGGCATATTGGAACTCTTTCACTTTTAGGAGACGATCATGTCAAAATAGCTTAAGCGAAAGCGGGATTCACTTAGTTCATGTAACTTAAGTCCAGGGCAGAAATAGCTTGAGATCTAGATCCATGACTCTTAATGATGTCACTGGGATGTGCGCCTGCCCACTCTTTTGTTTTGCATCTCAAGGCTCTGCTTCGTTCATGCCTGAGTTAGCTTTTTCTTAGCAGCTAGGTAAGGTGGCCAAAACGAGTTTCAATTTATGTATCTTGATATCTTACGATTCCAAAGGAAGAAAGAGTCTTTTCAAAAGAGTTCCAAAAGAAAGGTCCTAGGGAGGACTCTATTCCATCTTCCTTCACATATTCAGCCTTGATGGACCAGACCTGGGTTCTGGGTTCACTGTGGGGTGTGGACTTAGAGTGGAAGGGTCATTCTCACCCAGATCTCATGGAGTGGGGAAGAATTGGTTGCCCAAAGGAAAAGATACAGTGCAGACTAAGAAAATATTTGCTATTATGAGTAATACTTTAAAAAGTTCTCATTTATGCCTATCTGTTCTCCTTTCTTTGAATTTAAAGTTTTTTCCTTTATAAATTGCATATCTTCCCAACTTTGTATTTGTTATAAAACTGGAGAAGGAATTGTAGAAAATTCTCCCTTTGTAATTGAAAGGAGAGATACTCACTCAATGTAAATACAGTGGTCAGGACGTTGTTCTTTTCTTTTTTTTTCTTTTTGCCTTCCTCTTCACCCACATTATTGTGTGTCTACCCCCCTTTCCCCTTTCACCCCTGGTAACCATCAAAGAATATTTCTTTTTGTGTGAAACCCTTTTCTTAACTTTATACTGTAAGCGGTCTCAGACAATATTTGTCCTTTTGTGATTAACTAATTTCACTAGGCATAATGCCCTCTAGGTTCATCTGTGTTATGAGATGTTTCTCAAATTCATCGCTGTTCTTTTATGTTGCATAGTATTCCACTGTGTGTATGTACCAAAGTTTGTTGATCTGTTCCTCCATCAGTGGGCATGTAGATAGTTTCCATCCTTTTGCTTTTGTGAATAGTGCTGTACGAACATAAGTGCATATATCTGTTCATGTCATGGCTCTTATTTCTCTAGGATATATTCCTACTAGTAGTATTGTTGGGTCATATGGTATTTCTATTCGCAGCATTTTAAGGAATTGCTGTACCATTTTCCACAATGGTTGCACCATTTTACAGTCTCAACAGCAGTGTATGAGGGTTCCAGTCTCTCCACATCTTTCTCAGCATTTGTTGTTTTCTGTTTCTTTGAACTGTGCTATTAGTACCAAGGTGAGATGATATCTCATTGTTGTTTTAATTTGCAACTCTCTAATGGCTAATGATCGGGAGCATTTTTTCACCTGTTTGTTAGCTGCCAGAATATCTTCTTCAGTGAAGTGTCTGTTCATGCCCTCCACCTTTTAATTGGATTATTTGTCTTTTTGATGTTAGCCTCTTGTCCAATATCTTGTTACCCAGAATTTTTTCCCAATCTGTGAGTTCCCTTTTTACTCTTGATGAAATCTTTTTATGTACATAGGTACCTAATCTTTAGAAGATCCCAATCATCTATTTTGTTTTTTGGAGTTTGTGCATTTTTAGTTATTCTCGATAGTGTGTTTATGCCATGAATTACACCCACTGCCATGGAGTTGATTCCAACACATAACAATCCCCATAGGGTTTCCAAGGCTGTACATCTTTACAGAAGCAGACTGCCTCATCTTTCTCCCATGGAGCAGCTAGTGGGTTTGAACCGCCAACCTTTTGGTTAGCAGTGCCACCAGAGCTCCTTATGCCATGAATTAGGGCCCTTAAATTTGTCCCTTTGTTTTCTTTTATGGTTTTTATGGTTTTAGGTTTTACATGCAGGTCTTTGATCCAACTTGAATTCATTTTTGTATGAGAATCTTGTTCTTGAAGTATATATACCTCCTGAGACTATCATAAATCCTCAGTTTTGGGAGTAGCACTATAGTTTATTATTTCTTTAAAAATGCAAGTTGTACACTGATGGGAACAATCCCAAGCATAGTTCTAGGAATTTCTTTTTTTGTTTTTTTATAGAGCATATAGTAGACTTGTTCACATCATTGACTTGAGTTACTGCTTGCCAAATTCAGCATTTTAATTTAAAATATAAGCTACAACTTCTGATTTTTGACTGTTATCATTTCTTTAGCCCTCTTTTTTTTTTTTCTTTGTTTCCATTTCTGTCATCAGTAGTTGGCTTTCTTTTACCAAGGAAACATTTTTTAGTTGTTTTAGGAACCAACGAGTAGAGAACAACAAACTTCTTTGACATAAGGTTGCTAGCTGGTCTGCTAGATTCACTTACCAAAAAAAAAAAAAACTCACTGCCATCAAATTGATTTGACTCACAGCAACCCCTCCTTGGGTTTCTGAGGCAGTATCTCTATGGAGGTAGATTGCCCAGTCTTCCTTCCGAGGAGTGGCTGGTGGGTTTGAACTGACAGCCTTCTGGTTAGCAGTCAGATGCCTTAGGCACTAGGCCACCAGAGCTCGTCTAGATTCACTTACTGCTACCAAACCAGGTGTTTGTTTCTTGTGATTAAAGTTTATACCTTGGCAAAATGACTAATTGCCATGTATATCATGAACTTCTAGGGTTTGAAATGAAAAGACAAGTCTCAATATTCAATTTATGAATGTGAAGATATGTTGTAGGCTTATACAGAACTCCTTGATGCACTTACTAGCTTTGGCTAATAAATGCATAGAATAATCATTCCTCCATCTCTTTGTCAGTTGTTTTTAATAATAATAAATTTTATACTTGTTACGTCAAGAAGGTGTTATATTAACAAATGTATTTGTTAACAGTATTATCTCTGGTTATTTGTTGCTGAAATTACTGTGTTTCCTCTGACTATTTAGTTTTTCTCTTTCTAATTTCCTACTGAGAAAGGTAAGAAAGTATTTTTTCCACTTATTTTGTGGAAAATTTTAAACATACCAAAGTAAAGATGGACTGACATAGTGGTTATGACAGTGGGCTCAAGAATGGCAATGATTGTGAGGATGGTGCAAGACCGGGCAGTATTTGGTTCTTTGAACATAGATCCACTATGAGTCAGAGTCAACTCGAGGGCAGCTGATAACAGCAACAAGGTAGAGGGCATAGAATAATGACTTCATGTACCCATGATCTAGCTTCAGTAATCAATATATGGCTAATCTTGTTTCACCTATACCAAAAAATAAATGATGTGTAGCAACTGTGCAGGACAGAGTAGAACTGCCCCATAGGGTTTCCAAGGCTGAAATCTTTACAGAAGCAGACTTCCACATCTTTTTTCTGCAGAGGGGCTGGTGAGTTTGAACCATGGACCTTTTGGTTAACACCCAAGAGCTTTAACCACTGCACCACCAGGTTTCCTTCATCTATACCAACCTCCTATAATTATTTTAAAGCAGATCTGAAGAGGGAATTGCAACTAATGTTACAAAACAAAATGTGTATAAATTGTTGAATGAAAAACTAATATGCTGTATAAACTTTTATCCAAAACACAATTTTAAAAGTTATTTTAAAAAATACATATTTAAAAAAAATAATAAAGCCAATCCCAGGCATCATATTACCTTATTTCTAAGTAACTTCAGATGTATTTCTAAAAGACCAGAACTTATTGTTATTAAATATAACCACAATTCTACTATAAAAACTAAACAAATTTGTGTACTGTCATCAAATATCCAGTTAGGGTTTAGAGTCCCTTGATTGACTTGGCTTGTTTGAATCACCATCTAAACAAAGTTCATTCACTGCCTTTGATTGTTGTCTTTTAAGTCTCTTTTAATCTATAATAATTCTACCTCCCTTTTATTTCCCTTGTCATTTGTTAAACCTAATCATTTCTTCTGTAGAATTTCCCACATTCTGGATTTTGTTGATTACATCCTGGTGGTAGTATTTAACATGTTCCTCTATCCCTTTTTATTTCCTGATAGTTAAATTTAGAGGCTTGCTCAGATACAAGTTTGATTTTTTTTTTTTTTTGGTCAAGAATGTTTCATAAGTGATATTACGGACAGTCATCAGAAGGTACATTGTGGCTGCTTGTCTGTTTTTGTGATTTGTGGTATTAAGATTCATTCATTGTAAAGGTGTTATCACCTGATTTATTCATTATATATAGAGTTCTTCATCAGCCTTAAACTCAAGGTTTTAGCTGCCTGTGATCACTGTCTAGATCCATTATTTTGTTAGAGGTTACAAACTGGTGATATTCTGATTCTGTTGTTCCTTCTTATTGGCTAGAATTTTTCTATAAAGGACTTTATCTCATTAACTATTTGGTTACCTTGAAAACTGTTGTTACCAAGATGGCAGGATAAAGGATACTTTCCCTTTATCAATGTCTGGAATAGTGAGTCAATTCCCTAAGCATCAATAAAATCTATTTTAATGGTTTTCTACAGAATGAAAAACTTGGTGTTATTTATTATTATTTTAATTGACACAGTTAAGCCATTAATACTGTTTAGTGTTTGTATTTCTGAAGACTTAACGGTTTTGGGAGTAAGGGTTTGAAGTCATCTAACCCAGCCACTTGGAAGCACCAAACCAAACCTCTCAAACAGAAATGCTTGTTTCTGCCTTACGAGTCTTGTGAGCACAGTTGAGATTTTTCAGAATTCGGCCCTATTTCAACATTTATAACTACTTTGCAACCAAGTGTCATTTTCCTTGACCATAGTGGATTTAGCTGGCTACAGAAAACACTTTTCAAATTTAGA